AGTCCTACTCTTTGTGTCGTATCTTTTCACCAGCCCTTCATGAAAGAACCTTCCCTTCAATCTCATGGTAACTCTTTTGGTGAGAGACCATGTCAAAAGGTTTTTTGAAAGTCCAAATATTTTAGTACAGTATAACCTCATAAATCCAGATGCCAAAAATCCAGAACTATCAAAAATCTGGCACTTCCCCCCACCGCTCCCGGACCAGCTGCCACTTCCCTCCCCGCCTGCCCTCCCAGACGCAGAGGGGGAAGCTTGTATGTGGTGGCTGCTGCCGTCATTCACCATCCTGTGCCACCGCTCCGCATGCGGGCGCTGCTCCAGGACCTGCTGCTGCTATTCCCCCCCAGCCCCCAGCTGCACGGCCAGCTGCTGCACCAGTTTCAAAAATCTGGCATTTTCAAATTTCCAGCAAGTGCTCAGTCCTGAGCATGCTGGATTTATGCGGTTGTACTGTAGTACAATATATTTATAGCACAACATTTTTTTTTTAAGTGGTGCTATACTTTCTTCAGACCAGCCTCTGAAGCTGCTTGAGGCTTATGTTATATTCAGTAATGAGTTAAGGTGAACTTTTTAAGATTCAACATTTTTATTGCTTGAGGTCAGATGGGTTTTTTTAAATTACTAAGGTGTTGTTATAGAAGACAAGCCTATTTTTTTGTACCTTACTTGTAAATTTGTAATTTTAATGACTTCACTTATGCTGAACAGGAATAATAAAACCACCACTTATAAAGGTGGAGAGTCAAAGAAGTTACTAATATGATTTAGAATATGCTGTGGAATGAGAGACGTTATTGTATTCTTTTTTTCTACAGCCAATTTTTTTTTTTTTATATAAACAATGTCAAGGACTTTTTTATTACATATTTATAAAAGTAATGACCAGAAAGGTCACATTAACAAAAGTATATAATTAAGATAATTCATCCATTTGATAGCTGATAAAACAACTGAAACCTGGAAAAAGCAGATTAACTGATAAAATTGTCAGTCACAAGACCTGTCCTCTGTTGCTGGAGAAATAGCTACAGATCACTGGTAGATCCGAGAGGTCCATTGCAATCTTCACATTCCAGATTAAATAAAAGTTGGAATTTCTGCAGCAAGGAGAGGGAAAAGTGAATTCAAAAGGTTCCTGTCTTAGAAGGTCTTTCCCTTCACTCGGGGTCAGACTTATCATCATTTGGAGTCAAGAAGGCATCTACCCAATGGTTAGATTGGTATGGACTGCAGGGCGTTTTGCCTTCCTTTGTAGTGAGGGCATATCCCTCTTCCTGGGGTCTTCTGAGCATACACTAGCAACCTTCACAGCCATGCTTTACCTGTTGCAGATTAGGGTTATATTTTGGGTTTTGAGTCAGGGTTGAGACTGTAGTTTTGCAAAGAGGTTAGACAAATGGATTCAAATAGGATGATTTACACAATGATGATCCTGTCTTAGGAAGGGGGTTGGACTAGATGACCTCTTGAGGTCCCTTCCAGCTTTGCTTCTCTCTGATTCTGTGATTCTAAAAGAAATGAAATGA